GAACCTGGGGAAGATCAGTGGCATCCCATGTTCTCCCTCCCCCTTAGGGCACAGGGCTCAGCCCGGGTGGGGATGCTCCAGGCAGGGGTGCTCCGGGTGGGGATGCTCTGGATGATGCTCAGCACTGATGCTTCCCTCTCATGCTCCCCCCTCCCTCCTAGGAGAGGTTTTCTACCTGGACCACCCGGCCGGGATGACGCTGGAGGAGGCCAAGCAGAGCTGCCAAGATGCTGGGGCGGAGATCGCCCAGGTGGGGCAGCTCTACTCCGCCTGGAAGTTCGGCGGCTAGGCGCGCTGGCGGCCGGACGCCGGCGTCCGCTACCCCATCACTAAGCCCCGGGCCAACTGCGGCCCCGCAGAGCCTGGTGTCCGCAGCTTCGGCTTCCCCAGCAAGGGCAGGTTTGGGGTCTTCTGCTACAAGGAGAGATAAGGAGCCGGGAGGGCTACTTCTTGGCCGGAGGATGTTTCTAGCCTGACGGTGCCCGGCGTCGGGTGTTTCCCAGGGCTGTTTTGGGGGTGACTGGGGGGAGGCGGGGCGGGGGAGAGGCTTCTTTTTGTTTTATTTTGTTTCCTTCCTTTATATTTTCCACATCTTGGTGAGCAGCCGGCACATGCAGCTGCTCGGGGTGGCTGCCAGCTGGGGCAGCGCGGGACCGTCCCCAGCATGGGGTGCACACGAGGACGGTCCCCATGCCAGCGAGGCTGGTGGTGCGTGGGGTTGCTGCCACCCTGCTTGGTCCCTTCCCGCAGTGGCAGCGGGACGCCAACACCCGCCTGCCCTTCCAGGCTGGTCCTGCTCCTGAGCTTGTGGGGTGGGAGAGAGGTGAGGCTGGATTCGGCCAGAGGCAGAGAGTGGGTGTCTCTGTTGCATCCCAGCCCCTTCCCCATCCCACCGAAGGATGCCGTTGTGCCTGTCCCCATGGGAGCACCAGTGCCTTATATCCGTGTGCCTCTCGTCTGGACTCCACTTGAACTCTAGTGCCTTCTTCTTCGAGCGTTTGGTTATGAAAAGATGTATTTTCCTGGACCTCTTCTAATAAATCGGTGGAGAAAGCCCTGGAGTGGCGTGGCTGTGTCCCCATCTCTGTCCCATCATGAGAGAGAGGTCTGCCACAGAGAGGGGATTTGGGGACCCCTGGCTGGACACCCTGGACTGTCTCATCCTTGGCTGAGCATCATCTCATCGCCGCCAGCTCAGCCCTGTGCCCACCTTGAGCTCCTGCAAGGGACCTCAGTAATGAGTGTTAATTAACCCCCCGGGTGTCAGGACTGGAAGGGTGAAGCATTTCCTGCTGGCGATGGGTTTTAGGCATGTGGGTTAACCCCTTCCCGGGGCAGGAGCTGAACGGGGGGGTGTGATGTCCTACCCTGGGATCCTTCTTCAGTTGGGGCTTTGGAATCACAGAATCATAGAACAGTTTGGGTTGGAAGGGACCTTTAAAGGCCGCCTATTCCCCACACCTCCGTTGTTCTCAGGGCTGCACCCTTGGGTGCTGGCTGGGGCTGAGCTGGTGCCGTGTAGCCTGGAGCACCCTGTTTGGGCTCCCCTTCCTTCCCCGCTGCCTTGCCATGGGAGACCCCGCCCTGGCCCACACAGACACCCCCCTTCCCCCAAAAACCAACACCGACAGAGTGCCTGTTCCGATTTCACTCTCTTTATTATTTATCATTCTTTCAAAATAGGATATGTTTAAAAATATAAATAGGTGCAGGGAACGCTGGTGCCCCGCACGGTCCCCTGGAAAGAGCACATCGTCCCGGGACGGGCGCTGCGCTGCAAGGGGGGTGGCAGGGAAGCACCGCCCCCCCTCGCCTCCCTCCTCCCCCAGCTCCTTCCCCCGCAGCCCCCCGGCCCTCCCCACCCGCCCCGACACGCTGCAGCAGTAGGAGGATTCTGGGAAAAAAAAAAAAAAATAAAACCCCAAAAGGTGCTGTTCACCCCGGAGATTAAATAACAGAAATAATTACATTGTTCGTGGATAAAATCAGGAAAAAATAATCATCTTTATTATTTAACTTAACCCCCTGCCCTCTGCAAACCCACCCCCCTCCCTGTCCCCGAAGGCACGAAGATAATTGGAACCGGACGGTTAGTAAAAATGCTGAGATCTAATTCGCTTTGCTTTGGTGCTTGGAAAAAACATTAATTTTTTTTTTTTTATATATATACACAAAGGTGGGTTTGTCTTTAATATAATTTTTTTTTTCCTTATATGACAAAAAAGCAACAAGAAGAAGAAGAAATCGACTCTGTTAATATAACTGTTCCGTTAAAAATCTCTCTTTCTCTCTCGCTTTCCCCCTCGGTCTCTCTCGCCCCGCTCTAATGGGTGGGTCTGTGCACGGCTCTGCCGCTGGGTCTCGACCGGCTCCTGGGGCTCCTCTTGTATAGCCTGCGCTGGTAGTTGGAGGCTGCAGGAGAGGGAGGAGAAGAAAAGGCACCTTGTTAGCAGCAGCCGGGACAGAGACGCTGCTTGTCCCGTGCTGGCCGCCCCGGCCCCTGGCTCCCTGGAAAAACACGGGCAGCCGCAGGCAGCACTGCCCGGCGGGCGGCTGCGCGTGCCCCGGCGCCAGACTGCTCGCCTGTGCACAATCGGCCCTTCTCTCGCTCCTGCAGCTGGTGTTTGCTTCACCCAGGGGTGAAGGTGCCCGGGTGCCTCCCCGGAGCCTGGGCAGGAGCATCCTCTCCGCGGATGCTTGTCCCATCCCTTCCCTGTGCCCAAGCAGGAGAGCAGCTCTGCTAACGGGGTGGGCACGGGGATCGCTTCCTTGTCTCCCCCGCTGCCTCGCCAGTCCCTCCCCGATCCCCTGGGACAGCGAGGGAAATATCCATCAGCAGTGGGATGTGCTCAGGGCGCAGGAGGGGAAACAGCCCCGTCTGGCTGGCAGGGACAAGGTTTCTGGCTGATCTTTACTGCCGGTCTCCCTTGAATCTGGCACCGCTCCGTTGGCGGTAATTCCAGGAGGGTTTTGATGGAAGCAGCAAAAGATGATTTGGAACAGCCTAGGTCTCTTGATGGCTGACGGTCTGTGCTGGGAGCAGCCTGCAGCTCTCCAGGTCCGCGGCAGAGCCAAGGGAGTCAGCAGCTTGGTGCACACCACGCGGCTGCCCTTGGACACCTCCTCCATCCCTCCTCCTTCTGTCTCCTCCCTGGGGCAGAGGTTTGTCCCTTAAGTCCGTATCGACTTTCCCTGGCCACGGGACTGTTGCTTTAGCTGGAATTGCCCAGCTGAACCAGAACCTGGCAAGGAGGCCACTGGACAGATGCGATTTGGCTGAGGCCGACGGAATTATGGGGAAGCTGCAGGCGAGCAGGGATGGGACAGGGGTGTAGGCAGGCCTGGGAGTGGGCTGGGACGCCAGCGGGAGAGCGCTGGCTGCGATCAGCTGGAGGCCTGACAGGAGAAGGGTCAGGAGCCCAGCCCTGTCCCTTGGCTTAGCTCTGCCGCAGGGCTCCTGTCCTCTCCCAGGGCAGGGGGATGCCGGGGAAGGACTTGGGGGGACCACAGCTGCCCCCTCCTATTCTCTCTGCTGATGCAGGTGGTGCCAAAACTCACCCTCAGGGCAGGGGGATGCTGGGGAAGGACTCGGGGGGACCACAGCTGCCCCCTCCTATTCTCTCTGCTGATGCAGGTGGTGCCAAAACTCACCCTTTCAGAAGCCATTTCTTTTTCTTTCCTTTCTTTAAGTAGCCTGGGCCCTTGGTAAGCTCCTTGTTGCCCTTTCCTGGCTCTGGAGCTGCCCCTGCCCGGCCTACGTGGAGGAGCCTCCAGGGCAGGAATTGCCCGGGCTGCCCCTCCAGCCAGCCCCTGTGGTCCACACCTGCCCAGAAGATGCCAGCTCCCATGGCCCCATCACGGGGGAGCTTTCAACAAGTCAAGGGGTCCATGATGTCCCCTTCTGCCTGGCTTGGAGGTAACCTGCACCCTAAGGCGATGCCCCCCCTCATTCCCAGCTCCTTCTCCCAGCTGCAGGGATGCATCAGCCCTATCCCGAAGGTGAAGGGACCGAGACGTACGGTTTATGCAAGATATCCGCGGCTCCTCCCACTGCCCGTTGGGCTGGCACCGAATTGTGGGCACGTGGCGCTGGATGTAGCCTTGGTTGCACTGGTACCGCACCATGGAGTTTATTTCGTAGCGGTCCTTCTTCCGACCAAAGGTCCTGGCGTTCTCCACCACGGGGGGGTCCCCGCAGACCACTGCAGGAGATGGGCAGAGACACGGAGAGCTCGAGGAGTCCTGCCTGGCTGAGCGAGCAGCTCACACCCGGGCAGCTCCTGCCTGCCCAGCGCAGGCTGGTCTCGCACAGCCTCACCATTCCTCTTCTCCCACACCCCGTCCCGTGGGGACTTTCAGTGCTGGAGAAAGGGAGTGTGCAGTGGCTGCTTGAAAGGTGGCCACTTCTGGGGTGGAGAGAGGCAGCCGTGTCCACAGCCATCCTTGCCCAGCCCTGAGATGCAGTGGGAGCGATGCCCTCCCCCGTTATTCTCCCCTTGGAATAACATCTCTGATCTAGAAGGTGTCTGGGTCCCATCTGGGCAGGTGCCATCACCTGAGCCTGCCGGACTTTTTTTGCTACATCCACAGAGGGATCAGTCCTTTGTTTGGGGGGGGACAGACAGAGGCAATACAAAAAAGGGACAATTGATTAAAAAGTTCGTAAAACCTTAAATCCCTTCGAGATTGCCTCTGTCCACAAAATTTAGGAGCAGGGGAATATGGAAATTCTGTGATGGGCCTTAAAATTAGGCATCAGTCTGCCTCAGGGCTCCGTTCCTGCCTCCTGGAGAGGCAGCGAGAGCCAGGCATCGCAACAGCCGCTTGCGTCTGTGGGAGGGCACGGAGCTGGCGTGTGGGAGTGATGGCTCTGCCTGGGGACACGAAACCCTGGCCCTGGCAGCCCCGCAGCCACTGCCTGAGCTCCCCCATCCTTGCCGGTGCGGCGCAGGGTGCTGACCTGTTCCTTTCTTGCAGGTGAAAGGGAGGTGATAGTTGCAGGGGACGTCGTTCCATTCGCCTTGCTCGTGCCAGATCATCACAACGCAGTCCTCACCCGCCGCGAAGAAGTTGTCGGGTTGGTGGGCCCGCCAGTTCTCAAATTGCTGCCGAGAGAGGAAAGCCCTTCGCCTAAGGCTGAGTCCTCCCCTCTCCTCATCCCTCCTTCATCCCTGCTACTGCCTCCCCCATGCATCTCACCAGCAGAGACCAGGGGTTGCCAGCACTGCTACTACAGCGGTTATTTCTATTGCAGTGGTGCGCAGGAGCTTAGCTGACCAGCTTTACCAGAGGCTTGGAAAAACCATGAGCCCTACAAAGTTTAGGGCCGCCTCCACTCAACGCCCAACCCAAGCACTCAGCATGTAACTCAGGGGGCTCTTCCCACCCAACAGGAACCTCTTCCCTCCCACCGAAGGCTGATGCCCGCCC